TAACCCAGCAGAAAAAATAGGAGGAAACTATTTGCTTTCAGGAATTGACTCGAGCATAGCCTGACAAAGGCAGAGAATCGATATAGTGAGCGGAAGCAGGATAGGCACAATCCATCGAGCATCGGGGGCCGAGACGTGGGACTTCAAAGCGATGCCGCACGCGTCAAATATAAATATGCAATGAAGAAAATTTCAATTGTAGTAATTTTAACCTTACCTTTTCAAATCTAATGCCAGTGAATCGAATCAGTTTTACTGACTTAATGTAGTTAATGAAATTAAAGGTTCGTTTCCCCAAATGAGTATTTAGACTCATTTTAATGATAAGAATCTTTTACAATTGAAATTTTCTTCATTACATGTTTACACATGACGCATGTGGCATCTCTTTAATCTGTGTCTGTCTCTCTTCCCCTCATTGTATTTATTTTCTGTCTCTGTCTACTGGGATCACGTTACACAGAGCTCGAAACAGTGAGTAATGGGGGAAAAGTAGGGATGATCAATGGAATTAAGTCGAGCAGGTTTCAAATTTAGTTCTTTGCTAACATAGAGAAAATATTCAAATTCTAGCTGAAACATGTACTATTGTGAAGGATACATATTGGTTAAATATGTGTGAGATATCTATTTCTGAATATTTGCATTAATCTTTGTATTAATGTTTGTCATTTTACCCAGAGGACTTTATCATCAAAGAAGAAACTACTCAGAATTAGTTTACAATATGAATTTCATTAAGAATGTGATATTGAATAATTTTATGAAGTCTTAAAGTGAAAAGATCAATTAGTAAGACCATAGCTTTTAAATCAGACGATACCTACAGCACAATGAGTACTAAAATGCGCCCAACCCAAGACAGTGAAATTCAATTCAAAACTGATTAGGCGTAACAGGTTCCAATTAAAGTAAATCAAACCTGAAGGTAGCACGTAGATCGGACTAGTATCAAGAAACAATCATTAAATTTTAACGAATAAGAGAAACATAAGTATAGTTCTAATCCAAGAGTTCATAGTAGACGTATACATCTAAAAGACCTGTATTGCACATCCTCAAGATGCAGAATTATTAGCTTTGAATCTCTCTAATAAAAAAGAAGGTTTTAAGTCTAAACTATTAACTGCTAATAACACAACAACCCAACGATTTAGTATTGGTAGAATCCTAAGATCGAGATCTCAGAGGACCAAAGCCTTCATCAAATCAACCAATGAAAAAAGACACTGTTCGTAGTTCAGCATAGATCTATGCTATGGTGCACAAGTATTAGAAGAGAAGAACTAAATATTCTTTACCCTGGCACACTACTAGACTCATGGAAACCTAGCAAACTTAGTGCTGATGAAATGCTAGGGATAAGATTGGGATAAGATTCTTAGCTAGCCAGCTAGAAAAAAAGAACTATTTGTGGTTCATGATAGGTCTAAAGTATGGTGGTCAACTGCTATGAAAGAAAAGCTTGCATCTCGTGCTTATTAAATATCTTTAAATTTTCAGAGTGCGATTGTATAATTTACGAATAAGATTGTATTCTTAAGTACACAAAAAATGGAGTCTCCTATGGAGTACCTAACGAGGTTATACTCAATGTAATCGTTACTGAATATAGAAATTCGACCTAAACATAATGTCACCACTTTGCACATAGTTAACACTAAAACCACTCCAAATTAGTCAAAATAATCCGTTCCTGATTTCTTCTTATACAATTATTTGAAAGACAACAAACGATTGTCTAAGAAATTACCAAAGAAATTAACTTCATGACACGCAAACTGAATTATAAATCAGTTGAAATCTCAATAAACGCACTTTTGAAAATCCTATAATAAAATTAGAGACAGACGCTTCGATTGCTTAGTCATTTTAGTGTTAAAGTATCAAGAATAAGTGAAGAAATAGCCGAAACTCGAAAACATGTTTTCTCCGGAAAAAATCATAATTTGCAAGAGCCGCGTATCCGGTGCATCGTTCACTCGGCGGTTTGTAAACGAGTCGAGGAGAATTGATTCGACACGATCTCCAGGAGGGTTGAATGAAGAAACAGGACGAAAAGGAAACGGCAAGTCCCCATCCTTTTTACGGCTTAGAGGCTTCGTTCGTTCTTTTTCCTTACTGAGAGCCACTGTGGATAATTGGAACTGCACCCACAAACTTTGTGTCCATCCTTGCAATTATCCTGCTTTCTCGTACCCGCTTGACTCTCTCCATTTCGTGTAATTTCATTACAAAAATCATGAAACAATCGGACGATTCTTGTAAATTTAAAGTTAGCTAAAAGCTTTTCATAAAATACATACAATCCATTTGTATTAAGGGTAATAAAACTTCATTTTTTATGAAATTTTACAGAATATCAATTGATCTCTGAACGGAAAACAACGAGTTTCATTCGCGTTTCCTTAAGAAGTAGACATATAACGATTTTAATGAAATAATACTTTGAATATAAATTTATGAACGTTTTTATTGTGTCCTTAATTCTTTAAACTGTTACATTTCTGTATAATATTTTTAAAAAATAGAATTTTAGCTACGCATTTTTTTAACTAACAAGTTTAATGTCTCTGAACAATATTCCATTTATGTACCTATTTTTACTGATCTAATTGGTTTTCGAATATTTCAAATACGAGTGAACTATAATCATCTATAAAGTGTCTTCCATATAAGAGGAAGCTGATATTCTATCAGTAAACGTTAGGCTCAGTTAATGACGAGTCAATTCGTTCCTCGTTCCCCTTAACCTCTTCAGTAGGGGTGTCTACTATGGTCGATAGCTATCACATGCATACGTAGGTACCGGGGCACATCGACTGCCGTACTAAAGAGGTTAATGCACGATGCATTCCATCGTGAGTGATAATAATGCACATGTGGCCGATAAACTTTTCCCTAGTACCCTATTACGGTTTCTTTAAAACGCCACTTCGATCGGTAAGAGTGGCAGATACTGGTGCCAGATTGAAGTGATAAAAGCATTGGTACTTACGAAAATATATCTCAATCATTCCCACCGCAATCAAGAGTGGGAATTCTTTTTTTCATCCCGCTAGCATATTGAATTTTAACGTTCGCCGTGGCGACGCTAAAAACGTACCCATAAAATGCGGAACGAAAATCAAAGATGAATGGAATCTTTTAAAGCGAAAGAATGATAGCGTAATAATAATAATTGTTTTGCTACAGAACTTATATATTTATGGGAAAATAAAATAAGCGAAGCATAGTGTGTCGATAATTTATAATAACGTCTAGTGACGTTTATGTTTGAAAGCAATGATGCTTTTAAAAGCAAAAGAAAATTCAGAGTATGAACGCATTAGAATGAAATTTTGAAAACTAAGATAATATAATAAAAAAAAATGAAATGAGCGTTTAATTAATTCTTATACATCCTGTGAATGTCACACAAATTAAATAACATTATTAAGAATTTAAGTGTCATACTTATTTTCGGACACATCATATGGAAAAACATTTGCAAACATATGTTTTTAACCTAAATCGACATTATATTATATTATGCATAATGTAAACGTATTTGTACTTATAATTTTATATTTTATGGTTTGTAATTTACACTGAATTTTTTATTCACAAATTTCTTTAAATGCTGTAATAGTAGCAAACGTTTATTTTTCTACTAGAAGAATAAAAATCCTGACGTATACTTTATTATATTGAATAACGAATACTACAAGTAAACCTGTCATTTTATGATCATGAAATTATTATTAATTTATTACTATACTTACTATATTTATTTTACATAAACCCTTTTCTTTGTTTAGTTCCTCGAGAAAACAGTACTATGATTACTTCTTCAGTTCGTGAAGATCGCGTGGAATGCGATAACTCGACGAACTATTCAAATTCACGTAAATTATGCCAGAATTATAGGTAATATTGACTAATTGTAAGAGTCATGCTACTATGCAATAACCAATTAAAATAATAAATATGTAGCTGTGAAAAAGAAAATTAAAAGTGCCATTAATATAGAAAATATAAAACTTAAATGTTCACAGGAAACAGACGATTTCCATTTGCGAAGAATCGTCTGGATCTAGTGCTGCAACAAGAGATTCAACTTCAACCAATCAAAAATGGTTATAGATCAATTTCAATTAGAAAAACAATAATTAAAAAGTCAACATATTATTATGTAAATGCCATTCACTATTTTTTTCTTAAAGTAAAGGAACAATACCTACTTGTGTAATCCAATCAATTTGTGACAACGCATGGGATAAATTCAAATCAACTATCAAAGATTATGAAAAGACCTGTATCGGGTAAATAAAATACGATCTGTAATTTGAAAAAAAATTCTTGAAAGTAATCACAACATTTTTTTAACGCAATTTAACTTTTAAATTCTATAAGAGAAGCAGCCTCTTCCATTTACATAAACCAGTTAGTATGTGGATCAATGACCGATGATTCTACTATATCTGATGATGATTTTAACTAGACATGTAATTTTACCATTTGTTAAATGACAGTGAAGTTATTTTAATTAAAGGAACATAATAATTATTTTTAATATATTAAATACTATTATTTATTTTAGTCATTTTTACTTTGACTTTAATTTTATTAAGAATTTTTTATTATTATACTAGGATTTCGTAATAGCGTTTGACCATAATACTTACTATAACTACTAAGATGCTTGACCATAATTATATAGTAGAATACTTGATAAATCTGAAATCGACAACGTAAAAACAAATCAAACTGAACAGAACTAAAACTTCTGTAGAAACAAGAAGTCTTCCCATCATTCCATCTGCGAAAATTACTCAATATGTGGTGAAGTACTAGGAGATCATGGGTCTTTCTCAGAAGAACTTCTCAGACAACTTCCAAGGTAATATTTCAATCCCAATAATTACCAGTAATTATGAGTAACAACAGAGAAAATTGAAAGCTTTAAATAATGCCCACACAGAACGAGACGCACGAATGAGTCCCAAAGACACTGGGAAATGATGCTTCACTGTGAAAGGGCTGCGTTTCCAAGGGCAACGTTTAATTTACCTTTATCCTCGAGGGATGTACGTATACTGTCAGCTAAAAGTTTGAAATCACTATGTAAATTGATGAAATGAAAGATACAGATACTTATTAAATCAACAAACATAAGTAACTATATAAATAACAAAATGAACTAAAAAATGTCTTGAGTCTAATATCTTTCAAGACTACTACTGAAACCCTTTTCTAAAAAATAAAGACGAGGACCTCTAGTAGCTGTTCCGAAAAATATTCAGTTATAAGAAAAGTCATAATTTCACTGAAAATTTACACGTGATTCCAAACTTTTGGCCGGTCGTGTCTCATTGAAAGAGACCCGGCAAATCGAAACGCCGAGAACTTCATTAAGCCGAACTGCTAGAACGCAATTACGGAATGTTGGCTGACGGGAACGTGCCGCGGTCAGTAATTAAAAAGTTATTATACTCAGGCCCGTTTGTACTGGCACTTGTACTCAACTGCGGCAAGAAACTCATGCGTGTACCAGAAAGATGTAAATCATGCTCTCCTCGTGACACTGTCCAAGTGAGTACCGTCTTTGATGAAAATTTATTGTTTGGCTTCCGGCTAATACCGTTAAGTATTTCTCACGCGAACGCCGATATGAGTCAGGTTTTAATGGAATACGCGCTTCAAAGTATCTTGACAACAATGTTAGCCGTTCTACCAGTACGCGGTGTTCGGAAATAAAATGGAAATTAAATTTCGATGCAAAAGCAGATTACTTTTACTCTTTAGAACCCGTAAGTGTTTAGCAAACAGCACAGTACATTAATAAGTACTCACGCGTCCAAATAAGGGAGATGAAATACGGAAGAGTATAGTTTAAAACTACGTAGAACTTTTAACCCTTTAAAACCTGTGAAATTAGAATTTGTAATTAAAAGTGTAATTTTGTTGATAATCAAATTTTAATATCCGAAAAATTATAGACATTATTCAGCAACAATAAAATATTGATTATATTAGTAAATGTTCTAATGAACACCAATCAGTCTGTGATTAATAATCACTGATTATGGTTTCAAGTTTAGACTAGTAGGCTGCATGAGGAAAGACAATGAAAGAATAGTTCAGAATGAAGTCATAGGGCTGGAAGGGATAAAATTCAAACCAGACCGGCACAGTTACTGAAGTCAATAAAGATATAGTGATCGGGAGCTTTGTGGATTTTACTACTTATTTTATCACTAATAACATCTATGTGGATAACTCCAAAGTTGGAAGACACGATAGGAATAACCTAATTCGATCACATGGAACATAAAACAAATAACAGATCAGAAGAACTTAGAATAGAACATAGTAAACAGATGGTATTTACTTGACATTGACAATATCAGAGATTGGAGAAACTCGATATAAACAGTACTAGAAAAATAAAATTTGATTCTATCAATTAGACCAAACTTTTCAACATATTTTTGTGAACTAATCTACAGAAACAGGCATTGAATTTAAATTTATTTCATTTATTACTGATCTGTTCGACAAGATATTGAAATAAAAACTATTTTAAGTTTCAATAACGTTTTTTATTTGTTTTAATACGTTTGCAGATGGTATAAATATATAAATGATACTAGATCATAAAAGTTTGTACCGATATCTCGTATATTTAATACCAGAGGGCTTCTGAGGTAATGCCTTTCCTGCTTCTACTCAATCTTTCACTCATTTTTATGTAGACTATTCTTAATGATGAGTTCATTAGCAGTTCCAGGAAAAAGTGCCCCTTTACATTTCCTTTAAGAAATTTCTTTCCTTCTTCATCATTTCCGCACATTATTTACAGCCATCATAAGACAGATAATCTTGCATACAAATGTGTTGAAACTGAAAAATCCAGGAAATCTTAGAAATGTAAAAATTCTAGAAACTCTTAAATATGTTTAAATAAGACTAATGGTATAAAAAGTTCTAACTGTCTCAGATATCTTAGATCGAGAATACTGTAAATCATTTTAAACTCTTGAGCAATTAGATCCTCCAGATATCTCAGCTTCACCAGACCCTCCCAATTAACTCAGATCTCCCAAACTCTCTAAAATCTTCAAATCTCTTCCAAATATCATTTAAGATTCTCCTATACTGAGTTCCATTTCTTCGCGGTCATCTGTAATAAATCCATTACATACTAAATCACATATTGAATCTCAGCACTCATGTACTATATGTAATAAGGATTACCGATATTGGATTATATGGTTCTGATATCGTTTTCATTGAGTTCTATCATTTTCCCAATCCTTCGCACTCGACCACCTGCATTCAAAGTCCTTCGTATTAAATCTCCTACGCATGCAAGGAGACATCTGTACTGTCTCCCGAGTCCAAAGTCATTCACGTCGGGTCTCCCAAGTCCGAAGTCATTCATGCTGGGTTCTGAAAGTGTGGAGTCTTCTACACTATAACCCACGCCACCATTCTATCTTTCTATCGTATCCCATTCATTCGGACCTACATGTATATATATTATTTATACTTTATTTTGTCTGGTCATATGTATCGAGTTCTCCATATTCAAAGTCGTCTTCACACAATCTCACGTGCTTGGAATCGACAAGTCTATGCATACTGCAATTAAGTATAATATTGATTAACGCTATTTTTAGCGAAGGTGTCACGAAGCACCTTTCAAAATTATAAATTAACTTAAAGTTATTTTATAAGTCATTTATAAATTTATAAGTTTAATTATTTCTCCTCAAATGACATTCTGACTTCTCTTATAATAATTATACAATTAATTTAGCGGTATATGTTTTGATTAAATTATATTAAGTAATTTAATAGATTTTATTAAATTACTTCTTGGTAAAAATAGTTTTAATATCATCTCGAGATATTCAAAAACACTAATTCTAATTGTGAATTTTTACAGATCAATACACAGCCGCAAACAGAAAACACATATCAATATATGGAACCAACTGATACGTCTGAGGACCTTTGATCCCATTTCCCGTGAAAATCTAATAAACCGTCTAACTGTACTACTGTAGTAAGTAAGTTATTCAAATATATAGAACTTCTGACAATAACCGTATTATCTATATTCAATAATTAAAAAATTACAAGATTCATGTATCGGTAAGGAATCGAAACATATATAAAATCATAAAATCTGAATGAAACGGAGAACAACGTCAACTTAAACATACCGAAATTTATTTTACACGTGTGTCGTACATTTTAGCAAGCAGAATAGCCTAGAATCTATTTGTCTGGAAGGTCTGTCATTAAAGCCGGACGAAGGTATACGACTCCTTACGGCGTTGTACAATTCTCGTGAAACAATGAAATATGTGTATTGTTGGCGCGCATTCGAGAAAATGGTTGGCATCTCGACGGACGATCACTATCGGGCTGGATCAAGATTCTATCAGGAGAAAAAGATCGAGAAATGCGACTGGTTCCACGCGATCGGTTGTTTGGAGTGTCTCACCACACTGTCCATAAATTATGCGTATATAGCGACACCCACGGGAGATCTACTTGTCACTCTGGCCAAGTATACTGACTACTTAATCTTTTCATTAGTTTTCATCTGTTCCACGAAACCACGATAATGACTGGGTATTACCGGATTCGACAAATATTTTTCCTTGCTAAACTTAAAATTATTTGATTTACTATGAAATATGATTTCCTTCGTGTAGAAGTGTAACATAAACTTCAAGGACGCGACATAACTATAAAAAACTATATTTTTGTGAATATAATGTATAAGGGGAACTGAAATTAACGTAAAATCTATCATCAAATTGTATAGTTATTTATCTTTAAATTAGAAACAACAATTATATTTAAGTAACGTATTTATTACATGATTAATTGTAATAGTATAAGGTAAGATAAAAATGAGGGTGTATGTTATGAAAGTTACGCAACAATTTTGATTTCTGTTATCAATTAAAAACTCGTATTAACACGTTATAATTATCTATAAAGCTAATTTTACATCTAATTAGAATTCTGTTCACTATTACTGCAAACATAGAAAACTTCAACGAAATTGGCAATGGCTGCAACTGCTCTGCTTAGAGGAAGAAATTGTGCAGAGCCGTAATTTGATGAAAGATGAAATAGTCCTGATACCTGAAAAAGCATGGAAGAAAGCACATCTTCTTGCACCAGCACTGAAAATACAATACGCTATAAGTAAACATAGTGATAAATTTCTAATGAACTCTTTATAAACAAAAAATTAATTAAGTACGTTTTACAGTTAGGATACCAGAGTTTGATATTCACAAAAAGTTATTAACTAAATACACACGAACCCATACCTTCTCACTATCCACTGGTATCGATCTCAAATTTCGACAACCTTGGTGCCTCGATTCAACAATTAAAATATTCTGTTCTTGGTATCCGAATACTTTAGGTAATCACGCCAAATTATTAATATCCAATTCAAACAATAATTTTTATATCAATAAAAAACACATTTTATTTTTTATTGGTCATTTGAAATTTCAAAAGCGGATGGTGAGTACCGCTATCTATGAACAAATGTCGACATTAATTTCATTTATCAGTAGAAAATGTTAATATCGACTGAGTTAAAATGCTAGTGATTTTAGCGACCTCTAAACTTTAACTTGTTTCACCCGTTCAAATTTGATTTAACTTATTAAAACTCAATTAATTATTTATTAATTGATTGATTATATGATATTAGAAATAAAACAAATATACAATCGTAAAAATTTTTCCTTTTTAGAAAGTAGAATTAAAAGACAATATTTTTTTACATTTGTACAGTGTACTTATACTTGCAATTGTGGCATAACCGAGAAAACTTGGATATTCAATTAAAAAGACTGTTTCTGAATCTGCCGTCTCTTCAAGTTTTTGAGTACACCGGTGAAATTCGAATGTTGAAAACACTTTGTGCTATGTGTTGTCAAATACAATCCGGCAGTTGCAGTAATTACTATATATACATATATTTAAAAACTATATCCGTAACTATTAATCATTATATATTACAGATGTTCATAATGTTAATATAAAACTTCAAAAAGTTTTCTACGAAAACATAGATGAAGAAAAGTGGATTAAAAGTGTAAGGTGCTTAATAGCTTGTTTTAAGCACGATTTTGAAAAAATGGGTGTTAAGTTTAACGTTAGCTTCCATAATTCTTAACCACAGAATCACTATTAATGAAAAGTCTATTGTAATTGCGGGATATTTATTATTATGTTATAATATTTGTGAAAAATTCTAAAAAAGCAAATACTTAAAAAAATGCGAAGTATAATAAGACAAATTAATCATTGCTATTGTAGCAATTAACTTGTACTTTTATATTACAAATAAATTATTCGAAAAATTGTATAAATATATTATGGTTCTGTTGACTCTTGTTGTTCAAATTTCGGGTACTTTGCTTCCACTTCAGCCCACGTAATTTTACCGTAGGATAGATCTCGTACAACATTTGGAAGTTCATCCAACTGTAATTAAAATAAGGAATTATTTTTCTTTAAATCCTCCACTTTTTTTCAAGATATCAAAAGTATTTACTTACATTTATTCTAACTTGTTCCATACTATCTCTTTCTCGTAATGTTGCGCTATGAGGTGTTTTCAATGTATCAAAATCTATAGTAATTCCAAACGGTATTGCAATTTCATCAGTTCGTGCATATCTACGTCCAATACTTCCAGAAGAATCATCTATCTTGTGAGACACATCTACTTTTGTAAGATTCTGAGCTGCAAATGAAATTTGGTGAATATTGTTATATAACGTTTTTCATTAACAGCATACTTACATAACTGTTTTACGAACGGTGTAAATTCATCATTATTACTAAGTGGTAACACCGAACACTTTAATGGCGCTACAACTGGTGGCAAACTAAAGTAAGTTCGTTTTTCATCCCCATCCCTTGCTTTAAAGTTATGTTCAAAGACAGCATACATAATACGTCCTATACCGAAAGACGGTTCAATTACAGATGGAATTATTTCTTCTACATGTACAGTTTTTTGATATCGTTTTACTTGAATCATATCCTTTGTAATCTTTACTTCAGTATTATTAGAAAGCTTCAAATCTTGTTCTCCATCCTCATTAAGAGCAGACTCTAAAGCATCAATTTTACTGTTACTTAAAGCTGCTAAAGCATCCTGAACTAGTTTACTTTCCTTCTTAAACGTTTTTCCAATTAAAACTTTATTTGGTACTATTTCACATATATCAACATTTTTTGGTGCTGATAATTTTTTTTCTGCTACTAATTTAACTCCAGTAGCTTTAGTATGTTGTGTTAAATCATAAGCAGAGCGATCTGCGCAACCAACACATTCTATCCAACCATAAGAAGTTAAACATTCAGCATCCCAACAATCACATGCATAATGAGCCATCTCATTTCCCATGTGTTGACGGAAACGTAATCTTTTGGGATCAATTCCTACCTTAATTAAAAATTGATAAATTCTACCCATAAAATATCCTAATGTCTCATTAGCTATAAGCTTTGTTAATACAGCATCACCCAATGTAATATGTTGTGCACTCTTTCCATCCATCTGATTGCAAGCTGAGTATAAAAGTACACTTAAATCTTGAACTGTTTCAAATTTGGGATGATTTTTGTCATTAGGATCACAAAAGTGTTCTATTTCTGCCATAGTAAATTCTCTCACTCTTATCAATCCAGATCTTGGAGAAATTTCATTACGGAATGCATTTCCAATCTGAGCTGCAGCGAATGGTAACTTCTCTTGATTAAATGCAAGTAATCTCTTAAAGTTTACAAAAATGCCTTGAGCAGTTTCTGGCCTCAAGTATCCTTTTACAAGACCTGAAGGACCAATTTGAGTAGCAAACATTAAATTAAATTCTATTGGTTCTGTTAAATCATTCCCAGAAACAGGAGACTTCATATTGAATTTTGATAAAACAGCAGCCATTTCATCTTTTGTCATACCATCTAATTTAATAATAATGTCTTTGCACTCAGCCCGCTTGTTTTCATCAGTTTTTTTATCACTAATAACTTTTTCTAAATGCGCTTTAATTAAATGGTCTAATCTAAAACATTCCCCAGTCTTTACATCTTTTACCATTAAGTCTGCAAATCTTTCAACATGTCCAGATGCTTTAAGTACTGGTTCTGGTGTTAGAATTGAACAATCAACTTCAAGCATTTGCTCTTCTAGCACAAAGAAATTTCTCCAATTATTTAACAAATTTGTCTTAAATGCACAACCCATAGGGCCAAAATCAAATTGACCAGTAATTCCACCATAAATTGCAAAAGACTGGTCTAAGAAAAATCTACGTTTTAAAAGATCTTCCATTCTTGCTCTATCGAATGTAACTGTTTCTGAAAGAGATAATTCTTTTTCTTCCAATAACTTCTTACGAAGTTTAAGTTCAGCGACTGCTTTCTTGACATCCAACTCTGGAGCTCCATCAGATTTAAGTTTCCGAACATAATCACCCTTTAAATGAAATATAATGACTAAATAATACATTTTATTTTAAATAAGAGAATTGAAAATAGTTACAGTAATAATATAGTTACAGCAATAATATAAAATTAAACTCTTTAATTCAGATATTTACATTTATTGTAGTAAAAATCAATGCTGAGATATAAATATATTATCATCTTCATACACGTGTAAGTATGTTTAATAATAAAGAATAATCATCCATATGGTACTCACCTGTTCTTTAACACTAGCTCGAAGAGGAGACAGAATTTCTTCAATTTTTGGATCAGACATATCTTGAACAATTTGTATTTTTACTTTCCTGTGCTGTTTGTTGGTACCCCACTTGTTGAAATCGGCTAACCTAGTAGAAGCAGTAAACTTTCGAAGAGGTTGCTTATAAATTACAATATTCTTACATACACCTCGTGCAGTAACTCTGCAAAGAAAATATAGGTTACGCGAAATGCACTGCATTAGCGATGTCTTCTATTTTAACGGTGGATGAATACACGGCTTCAATGCCTTTTACTTGAACTTCTGGAATTCCAGGCCCCAATTTCTAATATTACGGCACTGTTGGCGGTCACAGCTGATGTAATTTCAAATAGCTTTACACGAAATAAAATTGGAGAAATACGATAATACTATAGCGCTTAGTTATTCCCAAATAATGTATCTTTAATTACTCTTTCTATAATATGTTTCAAATGACAATATTTTCAGCGAAATATGAAACAAATATACACTCGTAAATACTTTATAATGTTACTTTTTTTTGTACTCTTATAATGTCTAATATTAACACTAAAAATAAAGATCATATTTTATTTATAACGATGTTTTTATACTTTTTTCATAAAGAATATATTCCAAAACAAGTAACATTATATAGATACAACTAAAAAACTCCTAGTTAAAAAGAAAAATAAAAAATACAAAATGTGACGCATATTACACATAGTTATAAGTTTCTCAGGTTTTTTTATTAAATTAGTGAAGTATCACCAAACCAACTTATATATTACAAAAAGAAAAGAATTGTTTTTATCTTAATTTCGAATGATTTTATTTTCGTGGAGCACCGTAGCATGGTTTATAGAAAAATTACAATTAAAAAAAAATGATATACAAAAAAAGCAGAGATGTATCTGATATTTCTTTCTCCTACAAACTTTTTTATATCAATTGTAACTTTTCAATAAAACCAGCTTCCGGATAACACATTAAGTCACGTAATGTGCATAGAGGAAATTGTGTAATCAAGAATGTTTCATTCGTGCTACCACAGGGATATTAAAAGTTCTTACGGGTAGATTCTTTTCTTAATTACAATCTTATCATTTCACATATAAGTAATAGATTCTTATATCTACGCATTTACATGCACCATGTGTTAATTTCAAGTCAAATGGTTGGTCAGACGTAAGGGTAAACATTATTACAAACAATTATATATATGTATATATATATATATATATATATGCATCAATCTTTCTGTATAACAATGCTACAATCAAAAACAATCTCTTGATCAGTGTAAACAATTTATTTTACATAAGAGCAATACTCTGACATCAAAAAAAGCGATAATAATGGATAATATATAGTAATAAATAAAGTATGAAATGTAAATAATGGGTATTTACAAGTATGTAAATGGCAAAAAAGCTATAACAGAGACAAAATAATTGTTTTCATCTTCCGTAAATATAATCTCGTATGTATTTTACAATAGATTCTGTCGCTTGTTCGCAAGACACGCACCTTACGTTAATATCGCGCCATGTATATACCTGTACACTTAGAACCTAGAGAACGTGCAACCATAAGACGTATCAACATGTAAGATGCTTCTAATCTTTCCAATATAGCAAACACGTGACAGATTCGTTGGGAAATACATACTAATAGTATTCAGCATGAATGCTTATTTTTTATAATAATTCGTCTATAATGTTCAGAGGGAGCACCATGATAAACACTTATGCGGCTCTACATCCCACTTGGAAAATCGATTAAAAATCTCGTGCCCGGACTCCCGATTAACTTACGTTAACATAAATGCACAATTCCGATCCAGTACACTAACAACCGTAATTATAACTTCTCGCTTCTATAGTTTCACGCGCGGATCAAAGTCAAACTTTGTGTCCAAATAAAAATATACAAGCAAAAATGTCACACGAGAATATATGACAAAATATCACAGTTCCGAGTTTGAAAAGTCGCTTCTGAAAATCATGGCTCTCCCTTTTCCTCCTTCTTTTTTTCATCTATGTTTCAAGACAGTCATGAACTGCAAGACATCCTAGTTAACAACAACCCTACATGCTACTATGAGATTATCTATTTCAGAAACCGTAACGTTTAGTAGTAATACATAGTCCATATACAATTTGCTAAGGATGCTGTAAACTGTATACTGGCTGCTAAATGTTCCATGTGAATACTGTAAGTATAATGTATGTAAAAAGTCAGAGGTGACACATAGATTCAGAGCATATTGTGTAAATGAAGCCTAATTCCACTGTTTCAAGATTATTAGCTATGTGAACCGAAATAACGATGCGCAATCTGAAATTTATTTTTATGGAAGAGTGATGAATAATGTGAGAACACATTACACAAGAAATGTCCTCTTCGTGAGAGTATACATAATAGTCAATTAAAACATTAAATGTATTAACTTCTATAGCTATATATAATACGCTACTGTCCTCAAAATATCGGTAACTTCTTAAGCATTTTATGTAATATCATGTAGAAATAATTGATAAATATCCATCACTCTTCATACATTAACTTAGAAGGAAGAATCTGTTGACTTTAATGCAATGTATACTTCTATTTTAAGTATATATAAAATCGAAGATGGAATGCTGATGTATAAAATTTTATGAACAATGTGTTTCTCCTTTTACTTTGATCTCCATAGTTTTCTGTGTACTGCATTTAATCTGAATCATTTTTTTCCATTCGTTCCTTATTGTATATATAAAAGTGATCAGTGTAGCATTTATGCACAAAGCTAAACGATAGTGTACAGCATTCCTTCCTTTTTCACGTTATCGTCTGTCTAGAAGGTACAAACATTTTTCATAGTCGACATTCCTGGTATCATTTCCGTTTAATAATCAATCTTCGCAATTTTCAAAATTAAAAATTACGAACAATAATATATTCATATATTAAAAATATTCATTAATTTTATACTTATGTTTCAATGAGACACTCTATATATATAGAGCATATATAGCATATATAATGAGTCCATATATAAACCATATATTGAGTCTGTATATTAAAACAATCAATAAGTCCAAAAAGTGTAAGAAATATCAACACGTCTATGAAACCATAGAATATCGAGCTGAGAAAATACTTGCGACCTTCTAAATACTGACGTATTAATTAGTCGAATAGATGCATCGTAAAACGGCATGGCATTTCAGGTTAAATATTTTGAACATTTTAACAAATTGCACAGTTCAAAGTTAATAGGGACCTTCGTCTTATTTCCCTCGACATAAAACCGGTACCTCATAAGGGTACCTACTTACGTCAATTTGATTACCTTAATACAATACTTGTGACTAAATATTTACATCAATGCGTTTTACAGCTTCAGTCTATTAAGCTTCTGAACCGCGACAGCCTTCAAACTTTCGCAATATGCGACATTTTACGAAATTATTATATACTAATTGTTCATCAAAATACCACGTGACTTTCCTACTGAGCAGGTGGTTGCGGCTCGCTAGGCATATTAGGGTTTGGATATGGCGACAAAAACGAATAATTGGGATAAGGTGGCGGTGGATGAGGGAATGGAGGATAGTAATTAGGCGGATGTGAAGAAGGAGGTGCATAACCTCTATGTATGTAAGGATCTGCCGGTGGCGGCGGACCATGAAATGCTGAGTACATGCGAGCATAATCTGTATTGTAAGTCGGACCGCCGTATGCTGGATATCCAGGTGCACCTATATCACAAGGTCAATCTCAACAATATATCAGCAACTATTAATGTCATAAAAATGATGTACTTACCACTTGGCGGATAAGCTGCTGAAGAACCTGGTGCTGAAGGATAATGTTGTGAATATGGATCGTACGGTCCTGGTGGATAAGGTCCAGGATACCGGCTACTCGTAGGATGACTGAATGCGGTAGGTATGTGAGTGTCATCCCTATTAGTAGTAGTAGCCACTGTTGTTGTTACCACTGTTTCTGCACCTTTAGTTTCTGCTGTATTTGCTAACGTTTTGGCAGTAGTATTAGGTACTTGTGAATATGTTGGAGGTACATTCATCATCGTCCTATCTTCCATTGATTTTCCCAAGTCTGACTGCGTTTTGGCAGTGTCCATCGGCAATCTAGGATTTGTTGTATGAGGAGGAACGCCAGGGAAATAAGTGCCATAAGGGGAAGATATCGACCGCGATCTAGGATCGCTGTAATCATAGTACCGAGGATATTGTGCATAAGGATATCCTTGCGGAACATTGGGTTCTCCTTGCATAGGCGTTGTCTCGCGCATAGTTGACTCTGCCATTTTGGGAGATGTCATTGTATTTGTTCCCGTACATATAGATGTAACAGAAGAACCAATGGTCGAATCTGTTATTCCTTTAGAAACTTCTGTACCTCGCAACGTAGGTGTTGGTGGTACGTGCATCGTTGATGCTGCAGGTTGTTGTGTTAACAACGGCGTCAATGGCGCACATGTTGCTTGCGTACCAACTTGTGACGACATTTGAGATGGTACCTGTGGAGGCACCTGTGGAGGTACCTGTGGAGATACCTGTGACGCTATCGACGATGGTACCTGTGGCGGTACTTGTGGCGGTACCTGTGGCGGAACCTGTGGTAGTACTTGTGGCGGCACCTGTGAAGGTACTTGTGACGATACCTGTGGCGGTACTTGTGATGGTACCTGCGGTGGTACCTGTGGAGGTATCTGCGGTGGTATTTGCGGTGGTATTTGCGGAGGTATTTGCGGTTGTACCTGTGGTGATATTTGCGGAGGTACTTGAGATGGTATTTGTGGTTGTACTTGCGGTGGTACTTGTGGAGGTACTTGAGGTGATATTTGTGGTTGCACTTGCGACGTTGCTTGAGATACTTGAGGTGTAATCTGTGGTGGTACTTGCGGCGTTATCTGCGATGTCATTTGCGGAGGCATTTGAGAATGTACTTGTGACTGCATTTGAGGCTGTACCTGTGGCGAATCTTCAATTATAATTTCATCACTGGGAGAATCCCTATTGTCTTGTTGAGTTTGAAAAGCATGGCTATAATTTGTTAATCTATCATTTGCTTTTGTAACTTGTTTTTCAAGTGAAGGAGAACATTGTTTATTAAGGTTCGATGTCAACTCCGTTTCTGTATGATCATGTTGTGTTTGAACACCTTGTGCAATACCAGTATCTGATACATATACTTGACCACTTTCTTCGGAAGATTTCTGTAGAGAGTTATCGGTATCGGAGTTGGATACCCTATTGTGATTAGAAGGACTATACTCAGTATTTGAACTTACTTCCGCAACAACATCCTCTAATCGAACTTCTTCAACTCTTTGTTCAGTTCTAACTTGACCATCCGACGAATTCGAATTTTCTCCAAGCGTTGAATGATCCACAGGTTCCTGCTTTACTTTCGGTAACCTCGAGAGAGATACTTGATTCGTTAAATTAACTTGACTCAAATAAGGCTTAGCGGTTGCAGTTGCAACGGGTTTTGGTCTTTTAGAGATTTCTTTGTCTGCAAACGGTCTATAATTAGGACCACTTCCAGGTTTAGTAATCGTACGACCACTTGTTTGATTACTTGAGGACGATTTCGGTATTATAGAGATAGCCGAATTATTTCTCAATGGAAATCCAATTTCTGGCTTAGAGTTTCTTTGAGTCATTGATGATACACCTGCAAACAGAAACATATTTTTAAAAAATCTTAGCAATAATAGGTATATTTTTAATAAAATTCAAATCATAGCACATACCCTTTTTCGGTTCTTCTTCTCGTTTCTGTTGATTTAATTTAAGAGCCGTTCGAATCGCTATAATTTTCCCAGATTCCAACTGCATATAAATTCCTTTCGGACTCTTTAGAACCATTACTCGTTGGCCAGCTTTCAGAACAATACTTCCTTTATCAGGTGAATTAGTAGGAATAACGACATCTAGAGGTAACGTCATCTCCTGTGCACTCATCCCTTGCCTTTGCCATACTTCTGCGGGTATCCATCGACTTCCAGTGACGCCACGCGTACCTAAGCCTTCCGCGCCACGTTGTTGCATTGGTCTAACTGATGCAACAGGTTTAGACGTAGTACTACTATCACCACCTCGAATTGCTCTAATTTGTAGTCCTCCTGCTACAATAATACATTTCATTAAATATATACTTTTATCAAAAAATCATTTTAAATAATTCAAATATAAAGATAAAATGAATAGTACCCCGCGTTGCAGTATTTCCGGGGACATAATTATAACTGGGTCTCGAACAATTGGCAGCCATTTTTTCAAGTTCATATCCACGACGCGCTAATCGCTTTTCAGCTTGACTAAGTTTTTTGTCTTTACGATCCACGAGAAGACTTTCATGATGAAACGGTTGCTTCGTAAGCAAAGAAGAGTGTCGTTCTAATACGCGATGCATCACCTCATCGGAATAACTATCCTTAGTTTGGGAAAAATCTTGTACTTGACTATCCTCTTCCCAATCCCAAGACAACGTAGTCGCATCTTTTAGAGAAAGATGAGCATCCGGATTACACTGATCAACTACTCGATCAGCCATTCCTTGCTTACTGATTTGTCTGTCATATATTTTCCTTTCTAAACAATTATCAGTAACTAAACGATAAACGAAACAGGGTTTTTGTTGGCCGTATCTGTAAACCCTGCACACAGCTTGTGTATCATGACAAGGATTCCAAGAAGCATCAAAGACAATGGCACGATTCGCACCAACTAGATTAATACCTAGCGAACCAGCACGCGTAGAGACGAGAAAAAGATGTATTTTTGGATTGTTATTAAATTCATTTATAAGCTTTTCTCTTTCTAAAGCGCTAGTGCTTCCATCTAATCTATAATAGTTTACATTTTTAATCCAAGCATCTGTTTGTCCATCTGGATACTTCAAACTATTTCTAGCTAAAAAATCTTCTATGAGATTTAATGTAAACAGAGACTGAGAAAATGCTAAAACACGATCACCGAGCTTAATTGCTTCTTCTAAAATGCAGAAGAAAATTGTCATTTTTGCGGATGCATCAATTAATCCCGGCACGTAGCCTTTCATTAATTCCGTTGCCTACAAATCACAAAAAAAATTAATTAGATCCTTACCATTTTTAACAGTTTCCTCTTTAAATATATTATATTTACCCAGTCGTATGGAATTCCAGGATCTTCTTTCCCTGTTGGAGAACTTTTACAATCCTTTTCTTCGTCTTTCGTAAGGATTTCATCATCTGATTTATCTTCTTTATCTTTGTCTAACAAATCTTCTTTTTCTCTGTCATCTTCTTTAATTAAATCAGTCTGATTTAATCGAGGACTATGCGATGAACCAAGACTTTGAACAGATCTAGAGACTGTAGTTTGGCAGCTTGAATCAGAATTATAACTTGAACTTGTAGACACATTACTTTGGTGTACTGGTTGACTCTGCACACCAATACTCGACGTCATTTCCTTACTATTTTTTTCACAATGTCCTGAATTTTGAATATGATTGGTAGATTGTTGAGATTTTGAACTATCTGTACGTGAATTCACATCAGAGTTATGATTATTGGTATAATCATTAAATTGATTCTGATAATTTTGAGGTGGAAAATAATTATTTTGGTATCTATTTACATTAGGATTCACATCACGGTAATACGGATCATTACACTGATCAGATCTAAATGGTTGAGGATAATTTCTTTGCCAATACGGATCTTCTGATCCCTTCATTTGCCCTACTTGATTTTGATGTGTATCTGATGAATAACTCGATAAAACAGGAGTCTGTGATTGAGTTTGGTTTACTGAATAATTATTTGTTGGATTAGACGACGAATTTCCTCCTTGACGATCAGTTGAAAATTCATGGGTAGTATTAGGTGCTGGTGCATAATTTTGACCTTGCTGTTGACCATCTGATCTGGAGTAAAGCTGTTCATTTTGATTTAAGGAAGGAGCTGGTGTTTGTTGACTTTGGGGATATTGAAGAGACTGATTCTGAGATTGCGGTACTTGTCCCTGCTGAGTAGTTCCATATCTATGAGTCTGAGTCTGTGGCATTGGTGTTGAGCTTTGATGAGTAGAACCATATACATGATTTGGACCTGGAGGAGGTCCTGTTTGATTTTGTGCATTAGGTGGATACGAAGACTGATTTTGTGATCCTGATGAAGGCACAAGATGTGAATAACCATGCATAGTACTTTGTGGATTTGAAACTGGCCCTTGCTGATCTTGAGGGTAGCCATGTGTTTGAGCAGGAGCATTTGAAGCTGGTTGTCCGGTAGGATACGACGATGAATTTGGCGGTACACTCATTTGATTCTGAGGTGTTGCAGAATATCCACGCATTTGATTCTGTGGAATTGAACTTTGATTTGATGAATTCGCCATGTAAGGATTAGACTGACTTTGAGACATTGGGTTTGGCGGTTGTTGATTGAAAGGAAGAGATGATTGCGATGAAGAACTAGTATTTACTTGAGTAGAATAATTTTGAGGGGGATTAGGTAGTGGCAAACTTTGAGACTGTTGACCAGTGTAAGTGTGAGAAGAATTTTGTAAATTGAGATTCTGATTTTGTTGATTAGGCGAAAAGCCACGATTTTGCCCAGGTGCTGCTGCCTGTCCTTGTTGATTTGGAAGATATCCAGTTGTTGGAGTTTGAGAAGTTGCATTTTGATTTTGTTGATTAGCACTGTATCCCATTGCAGAATTTGGTAATGGTTGGTTTTCATTTCGTGAATACATTGAATTTGATTGACTTGGTGCAGAATTATAATTTTGGCCTTGATTTGGCGTATATGGAGAATAATCAGGCATTGGCATATTTGTAGATTGATTTGGCATTGGAGATTGGAAAGAAGGTTGATTTGGAACTTGAGGATAATTATTAGATCCTTGATTTAAGTTTGATGTATAATTACGTCCATGATCTTGGTAAGGATAAGATGGGCGTGAAAACATCCCAGGTACTTCATAATTATTTCCTTGATTTTGATCTGTTCGAAATTCTGAATTAGAAGATGCAGTTGGATACCTCTGAGTATGATTATTTGCAGATTGTTCATTATTTGGTATATAATTTTGCGATTGATTTGGATAGTTTTGTGAAGTATTGTATCCTGGCGTTTGTGTATACGTTTGGAATGACGGATTTCCATATCTTTGTGATCCTTGATTATTGTAAAATTCGTTATATTCTCCGTGATTGCTGTCATTTTTGTAATATGAATTTTGATCACTTGGTCTATAATTTTGATAACCGTGGGGATACGAACTCTGTGGTACTGAATTTGTGTACCCTGGGTTGTTATTCATTGGCATAGGATAATTAGGATAATTACTTTGTTTTGAAGTAGCATGAGTATTATCGGACTCCATGTTGTCAGTGTTTGATGATGATGATGAAGCATTAGGTTGAACACTAGCTGCAGGTTTATTTTTTATAGTTGTATTTGCTTTTTTTCCCTTTTTAGATTCTCCCTTTGGTTGGCGTGCTTTCGAACGTTTTCCCCCAGCAGCAGCGGGTTTTTCACCAATTGTTTCTTCCAAATCTAAATCATCTTCTTCATTAGTTTGACGCTTACGTAGGAAATGATACAGAATATCAGGATGGTTCCAAATCTTACAACATACAGCAAAAGCTTTTAATGGATTAGGGACAGCACGTGTTTTAACTACTTGATTCATGAATGTATCATATAATTTTCGCTGATGTGTTGTCATCCGAACAAGAAGAATATATTCCTCTTTACGTGGTAATGAAACTTGCAATACAGAATGAGATCTTCTTTGTACAAAACCTTCTAATAAAGCATGCAGCACATGTGCACGATATCTCATCAACCGTATATCCTGTGAAGTTGAGTCAATACATTGTCCATTCTGAATGGGTCTTTCAAACATATTACAGAACTCACTTTTAGTTCCTAAGTAATTAGGTCTCACAAAATCAACCATACACCAGTATTCCAAAAGGTTGTTTTGCAATGGATAACCGGTCAATACAATTCTACGTTTCGTGCGCATTTGTTTCAAAGCCATGCTAATACTAGCATGAGAATTTTTTATTCTGTGACCCTCATCACATATAACCAAATCAGGTCCAGGATTAACTAAAGCTGCATGCATCTCATTTAATAATCCTTTATTCTTATCTTCTTCTTCTACGTCAACAGTATCTTTGAAAGGTTGTCCTCGTTTCCTTTTCGCTTTGTTTGGCTTTTTTAGAGATAACTGTCTATATAATTCATAACCAATTAATAAAACACCACCTCCTACTTGCCATTCCTGAATTATTTTGGCCCTTGCTGTCATTGTTTTATGAGAATCATTTAGAATATGTAATTTAAAGTGTCTTGGTCTTAACTCCATTCCAATAGGAGAATCTACATTATCTGGAGTTTTAACTTTTTCAACCTCTTTCTTTTCATCATTCATCATTTCATCTTTTGTTGTACAAGTACCTTCTTCCTTTTTAATTATTTCTTCTGGTTCTTTTTTTACATTAACTTCTGCATTTAAAGAAGGCATAACATTTCTGAAACATTCCTTCCTTGATTCTTGGTCAGACTCTTGTGTTAACCGATTTGCATAATTAGGAAAAGTATTAGTAGAGTTATCATAATTTGGATACATTGATCCAGGGTGATGGTTTTCAGAACCAGGATACAAAGTACTAGGATTTCGATTTTCCATGTTTGGGTACATAGGAGGTTGCGACCGATTTTCTAAAGTAGGATACATGTTACCAGAGTTTTGAGTATCTACACCAAATTTTGTATCTGGCATATTAGGTCTTTGTTGCATAGTATGACAATTTACCTCTGGTTTCATTGAATCAAAATTAGACATTGGATTAGGATTTGCATTGTACATAGTATTTTGTGAAATGTCTGTTTGATAATTTTCATTCATATGTGCTTGGGGATCTGACATATTTTTATTTAACATACTGTCTTGCATATAGTTGGGCATCATATTATGAGTTTCATACCCTTGATGAGCGTATGGATTTTCTGGCATGATATTTAAAGGTTGTGGTGGGTTCTCTTGCCCAAAACGATGAGCTGATTCCGTACTAATAGGCCTCGATATATTTGATATATCACTCTGATTTCCACATTCATCCTTAACTTCTTGTTTAAGCTCTACACCAGGTTCAGATTTAACATTTAAAGTTTTAATATTTTTATCTGGTGCATTAGGATCTTCGTATGGTAACCACATATTAAATTCTGCTAGCCAATTCTGTAATGTATTAATAGGCATGATACAAAGAACTGTTTTGGCTGTAGTGCATCGAAAAAAAATATCACAAAAGCTAGCAACTTGAAGAGTTTTCCCTAAACCCATACTATGAGCTAAAATACAACCAAAGCCAGAACTAGTTTTATACCTTTCAATGCTTTCAACGATATTGTCATATAGAAAGCGAATACCACCAATCTGATGAGGTTTAATAATACGTGCTACCTGTGGTGCCAGAAATACATCAGGCTCAGTTTCAGGATGACCCACATTAATTAACACTCTACCATGTTCATCTGGAATGTTGTATCTATCATTGGTATGCATACCAGAATTGGATGGATCGTCTTCGTTGTCTATTTCTTCTTCCCCACTTGGATCACTTAAAACTATACAATCATCATCAGAACTATCACTAGAACTAGATATTGTAACCACATCTTTGCCTTTAGCTGCTTTTTGAGATTTTGTGCCAGTAGATAACTTTTTAGTTGCATGCATCTGTTTTTCACGTAATGCTTCTTCAGCTTCTATATCGGATAGTTCAGAATCTGAATAATACTCAGATCTATCCATAGGTTCCTTCTTAGGAACTACAGGTGATATGCTCACAGAAGGTGTCATCATCCGAATTCTTTGTTGCAACATATTAGGACCAGTAACACGATTTGGAACTCTAGAAATTGATGTTTGTGCTCCTTGATAAACACCCCTCCCCTTTTGCCAACGAGATCCTTCTACTGATCTTTTTTGTACTTGACTTGTTTGCATACTAGAAGTAGTTTGAGATCCAGTCCCAGACCCAGAATTTACTTTGAGAAGCACTGTATTTGGTAAACGAACTGGTGTAGATGAAAATGATGTTGAAGATGATTGTGAAATGGTAGTTCCTGCTTGATTTTGTTTTCCTTGTAATAAACTTATTACTCTTGTCTGTGTCTTATTATTCTGTCTATTTATTGCTATTTGTCTCTGAACCTCACGAATAATCCTCTGTTGTTCTTGTACCCTTCGAAGACGTTCCATTTCTTGTCTTTGGGCAGACAAAGTAGCTTCGTCGAGCTGTGTCTCATCCATAACTTCTCGAATATTTCTTCTCATATTTGCTAATTTTTTTTCTGCTTTCGATTCACATTCTGAAGCAGTTCCTTCACTACCATCATCTTTTCTTTGTTTCTTTTTAGCTGTGTCGGAAAGCTCTGACTCTCCATGCCTTTTATTATTCTCAGTACTTTCATCTTCCATGGAATGATTTTCATGTTTATCATTTTCATCATGATCCATACTCTCTTCATCATCCATGTCCTTCAAAATTGGTTTTCCAAGTAAATCAGCTTCAGATACTTCTTGACCTTCTATTGGAGCGCCTTTTAATGTAATTGAAAATTATAAGCAAAAATAGTTGTATGAGCAAATTATAAAAACAATTGTAAAACAGTTTTATACATACCTTCCAATGGTAAAGTATCCAATATATTAACTGGTTCCTCGTCATCCTCTTCGGGTTGAGAATGATGCAATCGTTCCGACTCCATTCTTACTCCAATTTGAGAATCGATTGTTTCATCTAAATCCATATCATCCCCTGAACCTTCAGAACGTATTTCTTCTATTTCCTCGGAGTGTATCGTATCATTTTTCTTTTCTTGTTCTCCATCAGATGTTTCACCACTAGATTCTTCTGAACTTTCATCATTTCCTGTTTGAGGCTCTACATTATTCATGTTTGTATTTGTTGAGGTTTCATTCAAAATTACTGTTTCATTAGATTTAGGACCTGAACGAGGAGTCACGCGCTCAATAGTGACATCCCCAATACGTGTTAAAAAACTGTCCAAACTATTAGACATGATGTGTACAGTACATTAAGTCACAATGTGTTTCCGCAAACTTTCATACGAAATCATGGAATGTCTTGACACTTTTCTGCATAACACTAAAAATTATATTATTCTGCACATCACTTAAATTATTCATTTATAATTTTATATCTTCTCTTGCCTGTAATAAAAAATGTACTCGTTTATAAGTGTAACGCCAAATGTAATAAAAATCTGTGTCATTCATCAAATAAATATAAAAATTATAGAATTAAAGAACACTTATTCTAAAATAATATCAAAATAATAAAAAGAAAATGTTGTTACTAATAACATGCAACAAATATATGAAACAAAAATATTGTACATTACAGATGCATTTAATATGCACCGAATTTGAGAATTTATTCAAGTCTTAATATCGAAACATAATGTACAATAATTTTAAATAGAAATAAATTATTGTATATTTGTAGAATATATTGCCATGTTATGTATAATTACTTTAAATGAGACATACATGCAATAAGTATATTTGCATTTCATACAAAGTCCATATGATAAACACCGTGAACTATGTTACACAAAAGTAATCAAAACAAGTGTGTAGTAATAGTAAACAAAAAATCTTTAAATATCAGAATAGAGAATAATATTAATGAATTTATATATAAAAATGTTTATAAGAAAATTGCATGCATTTACAAGTGGTATTGAGATAGGTAATATTAAGATAAATGAAGACTTGAAAGAGTGGAGATCTTTGTGATAGTATATAAACTATGAATCATTCTAAGCACTTGCAATTAAACACACTTGTTGAGAGATCAAGTTAGTCACATTCTCGAACTCACGAACAAACCCTATAGTAACGAATTGGGCAGTACTATTTAATGAGAAGGTTACAATAAACGCACACCTCAGCTTGGGATAACGTAACTGAAGTAGTTGCGTTAAAGTATTCATAATGTTCTGAGTTATTTAAGGTAGGAGCTGTCAAACAGAGAGAATGAAAGCAGCTCAGAATGTTTGTTTTCGGACAAGCCGATCCGGCTCGACGATTAACACCAGGAAGTCGCGTCGTTTTGTAACCGGCGTTGTCATGTATCTTCCGCACGTCAAATTTTACCAATCATCCGTATTTACGACTGCTTAATTAGTCGTTAATTACGGATTAAATATAATGACACACACATACACACGTTTGATAGACGCCATAGCGTCGTTGTTCGCCGCTCGACGATCACGGTTCTCCGCAATGTCCGAAGATCAGCGAACAAGCCTTGTCACTCGGGTTAATGCACGCATCGTTTTGACCACGGCGTACAATTCCTTTTCACTTAAGCCGCATGGCGAAACTATGGGAATTCACTTTACCACCAAAATTTCACCTAAGTTCGCACGCGTCGCTCTCAAGCTTTCCGCGGCATTTTTTTCACGCACTTTTTCTAACAAGTATATTCCACTCGGTGAAACGCCATCTTGGCTGCGCTATAAAACACATCCGCTGAGTGTTCGCGAGGGAACGACACCCAAAACTAAGTAAAATATGCTTTTTCAAATTGTGAAGAGTATGAAATTTATTCTATTTCTGAATTCAATTCGTTATTCATGTAATAAAGAATCGCTTTACTTTACATAAATATTTAAATATAAATAAATATAAAGATATTTGCATATCAATAACAATATGATTTTATTCGAAATTTATTTAATCCGTAAACGATATTTTGATTTGTGCACCATTTAAAATGAAAATATTTAAAGAGCTATTTCAAATAATAAATACTAATGTAAATACATATAAA